ATCTGTGGTGAGGAAAAGGCAGGTCAGGGGTGAGGACTCATGTGCTGCCCTTTCTGAATGTGCTGAGGAATTTATGCACTCATGTGTGCCAGTAGTAGGGCTTGAATTCAGGGCCTGAGTGCTGTCCCTGTGCTTTTAAGCTCATAGCTAGTACTCTTCCACTTGAGCTACAGATCCACTTTGAGCGTTTCGGTAGTTACTTAGAGGTAAGAACCTCACAGACTTTCCTGCCTGGGCTGGCTTTGAAGGGCAATCCCCAGATCCCAGCCCCGGAATAGGGAGGATTTTAGGTGTGAGCCACCAGCACCCAGTTCCAGGAGCAGGTCTTTAATTCCACTCCCTCTGAAATCTCTGTTTTCTTCTCTGGAGACTGTGGCTTCACCTTGTCTATTCATTTGTGCCTCTATCCTGTAAACGAGCTTTGTCTCCTCCCTCTGACAAGCTCTCTTCCCTTGTTTGCCCTTCCTCAAATGTCTGAAATCCTTTCTTCCTCTCTCTGTTCACTCCTGCCTCCTCATCGGAACAGCACCTATCTTTCTTCCTGGTCTCATTGTCTTCCTTCTTTCATCTGACTAGTTCTACTTTTGTCCTGTCAAAATCATTCCCGCCTATCCATATGAGCCTCACCCTTCCTTTGTCTCCCTACTTAAGCCTCCATCTTATTCCATCCTTCCTGCTCTTTTCTTTCTTTTTTATTTTTTGACACCAAGGATCAAATCCTGAGCTGGTTTTTATTTTGTTTCTTTTTTTTTTAGGAAACCAAAGCTATTTTTGTGCTAAACTGGTGCTTAAACTCAGGGTCAGGTTGCCATCCCTTAGCTTTGTTCTTCAAGGTTGACCCTCTACCACTTGAACTACAGCTCCACTTTCAGCTTCTTTTTAGTGGATAATTGGAGATAAATATCTCTTGAATTTCCTGTCCAACTGGCTTCAAATGGTGATTCTCAGATATTAGCCTTCTAAATACCTAGGATTACAGGTATGAGCCACCAGTGCCCAGCAGGAAACTCAAGATATGTTAATGAAAATTATATAAAATATCTAATTAGAGTAATATACATGAAAATAATTATACTTTCTTGTATTGAGGTATTTTTCACAGAACACTAAAAATATTAAGAATTTAATCTCAGTTAAGAATATTAATCTGCTAAAATGTTGCTCTATGTCCATTCCTCTGAAATTTCATAAAACAATGTATGTCACCATAATATTACTGTACATCCTCTATGGATATTTTTCCCTGTCATTTTTCTATTGATTGAACAAAGGTTTCTCCCTGTGTACATTGTACTTGGCTGATTCTTCTATTGCTTTCTTCCCCCCCTCTTTCTCCTTTTTAACCAAATTTAACAGGTTCTATTATTCTCTCAGTATACATGTAAGATGCTTCAATCATTATCACCCTCCCCAGCCCCTTCTGTCACACCATTTATTTTTGCTGTCTTTATCTATTGGAAAACTCTGACTTCTTGTGTGTCTCTTCATACCTCCTCTTTCTAAACAACAGCCCCTCACTTGAGCTCCAGCTTCCATCAAAACAACCATGCCCAGGCCTTCTATTTATCCACCCCTGGCACCCTTCTCCCTGGGCCTCCTTGCTCTGCCATCATGTTGGGCACTGTGTTCAGCACTATTGGCATAGTTAGGGCTGGGTAAGCAGCACAGTGAAGTGCAAGCAAAGTCTGAGAAGGTCTTGCTGGTTGTATATGCATACTATCACCTCTGGCATATAACCTTGACAGAAGAGACAAGACATTCAGGATGTGACAAGAGTACAAGGATTAATACCAAAACCCACCCTCTCAGTGTCAGAAATCTACACAGGAGATGAATGTGCACCTTTCTCTTGGAAACTGATAGGTCCTGTCCATGCTAATATCCCTCCAGCTGACCCTCTGATCCCTGCTATTCTCACAGCCTCTGGGGGTTAAAATAATAGGCAAACTTACTCAGCAATCATGGCTTCCTTTCCTCATCTGAGGCTCCTGATCACATGAAACCTCCCTCTTGTCACAATCTAGCTTCAAGCTGAAGCTCCAAGGCTGCTGTGGGGACCATCAGAAACACAAACACCTCTCCCCCTCTTAGCTGAATCATCACACAGGCCCCCTGGCTGCCCACTCACTGGCAGGGTTCCATGTAAATGGGCAGGATGTCAAGGTGGCACACAAGATCAAAGCTATATTAGGCACTGTGTAAGGCACTTGTTCAGTAATAGAAACAGTGCACGAGATTGGAGCATGGGAGGATTAGAGAACCTCTTCCTCCCTCTCTTGGCCCTTCTGTCACCTTCCCTATCAGACACATGTCAGCCCCCAAGATCTACCATGTGGCTCCATCCTGAGCAATGCAGTAGGGACATAAGAAGAGGGTCTGGGTATAGCAGGAGCTGCTACACTCCTACATTCCTATTCTGAGTCAAGTGTGAACAACTGGGCCTCACAGGAACTGCTGAGCCCGTTATTAGTGAGGCCCAGGGGTCTTTCCCTTCAATGCTCTCTCCTTGGACCTCAAATGATAGCTTAGCTAGGCCGTGCAGTGTAGTGCTGTGCCATGCTCTGTGTGTGTGTGTGTGTGTGTGTGTGTGTGTGTGTGTGTGTGCTGGTATTGGGCTTGAACTCAGGGACTTAGCTTTTTCACCCAAGGTTAATGATATATCACTTGAGCTAGAATTGCACTTCTGGCTTTTGGGTGGTTAATTGGAGATAAGAATCTCAGGGCTTTCCTGCCTTGGCATACGTTGAAATGGAATCCTCAGATCATTAAAGACACAATGGCTGGCTGCCAGTGGGACATGCCTAATATCAGCACCCAGGTCTTGAGTTGAAGCCCTACTACTATCACTAAAAATAGAATTAAGCCTTTTTATTCTCTATTTTCAGAATCAATCCAATCATTTAACAGGATACACACAGATAATAAAAAATAAGCTTTCATTTAACCTTCAGAGTCAGAATGAAAAAAATGACACGTGCACACATACACATACATACAAAAATTAGGGAATAGAATTGGGTCTATCTTGAACATATAGAGCTGTGTCAAAAGAGATAGAGGAGATGGGAGTGGAATTCACACCTGAAGTACCATCACTCTCTAACTCCAGCTATTTAGAGACTAAGGTGTGAGGCAAAAGGATTATGAGTGCAAGGGCAGCTCTGACTACATAGTGAAAGCATAGCTCAAAGAGGAACTGGGCATGTGACTCAATAGTAGAATACTAATGCCAGAGGCCCTGGTAGAATAAACAAATATAAATAAGTCAAACCACTGAAAGGTAATGAGTTGTGTGCATTTGGAAATGCATGCAACCTCACATCTGGAGTCACCAATGGACAAAACTCGCCCAACAGATTTCACTTTAGGATAGATCTGTAGGAAAAAAAAAAACATTCATAACAACAGCCAAACCTATGTGGTTATAACAGCAATATAGCAGACATGTATAGAAATTAATAATCAGGGATCACAAATATACAACTTTATAGGATTTATCAGAAGAACAGTCACCAAATCAAAGATGGAATTGAAATACACACACACACACACACACACACACACTGGAGCCATCAAGCAAGCATTTAAATATAGACAGAGTCCAACAGCTTGATGAACCCCAAATAAAACTTACAGAATCAGCTGGATGAGGAAAGTTTGAGTGATCAAGACTTGTCGTAAACATGTTTTGAATGACAGTAGACAGGGCTCAACTGTCACACATCACCCAGCCATCCAGGGAGAACTGGCCAGTACTCACAGAAGCAAACTCAGAGCCACAGCTAGTTGATTAGTACATTCACACACATCACACACACACACACACACACACACACACACACACACACACACAACCACATTATCTCTTTGGACATTCAGACCCCATTGCCAGCCAGAATCAGCCAGAAGAACATCGCCCAAGGGCCTCCTCGAGTCAGTGAGAATCACATACATTGAAGGCATTTACCATCCATAGGACTCCCAATCTGGCCCACTTGTCTAATAATAGAACACGAGAGTCTTGGCACCAGTGTTCACACCTAGTAATCCTAGTTATTTAGGAAGTTGAGATCTGAGAATTATGGTTAAGAGAGAGCCCTGAAAGGAGAAGCTGTGAGAATTTTTTTCTCCAATTAATCATAAAAAGCCTGGAAATGGGACTGTGGCTCAAGTGGTAGAGAATCAATCTTGACCAAAATTCTAAGGGATAGCAACAGATCCTAAGTTCATGCACCAGAATTGGCACAAAAAAAGAATACCTGAGACTGAGGCAGGCATACATAGGTAGAAAAGGCAGCTGGGTCTCATAGATAGGCGCAAGGATCTGGACATCAACCAGGGGATGGGGTACACTCACCATTGGAGTCCATGTACAGGAAAGATTTGATAACCAGGAGGAATTCAGATATGATAATGAACAGGCAAGACATGGCTGGTGTTGGTGGGAGTACATATAAAATAAAAGATTCCTCTCTCCCTTCCTTCCAGTCTCCCCAGCCCATCCCATCCAGGGAATCCCACCTCACCCCATCCTCTTTACCCTCTGACTCCCACCTCTCAGAGTCCTTACCCCAACATTGTGCAGACACATGACCAAGACCACCAATACCTCCCCGCAAGCCAAAACAACCTCTGTCCCACCTGCTAATAGGTCTGCATGCTTAGGGAGTGTCAAGAAGGAATGGGATCGTGGATTCAGGAAGTCAGGGTTGGGGTAAGAAGTGGGAAGGGTGGAAGTCTGGGTGCCTGGACTTGGAGAAGTGATAGAGGCTAGAGGTGAAAGTTCAGCAGTTAGGGTGGAATTTGGGGGTAGAGTCTAGCATGTGCATGTAAGGTCTGGAAGTGCTCTTGGAGCCAGGATGTGAGTTCAAAGCACAGAGGGGAAGAAGCCTGGGATTGGGGCCAGTTGGAAATGGGAACTGGAACTAATAGGGTGCTGGCAAAGAACCCCCGTCAAGGTGGCTTAAAGGCTTTGTGGACTTCCCCCTTACTTCTAGATGTCATCCTTTGCCCTTGCGGCAGCTCTCTGGGAACTGGATCCCACACTCTGAGGTGTTGTGTAGCACACCCTACAAAAGTGGGGTAAGAAATCAGAAAGTCCAAGTACACCTCTCACTGACCTGGCTGTGTGGACACTCAACACTCCCTGTCACACACAAGTTCACCTGGGACTGGAAGGAGCTTATTGTGCCAGGAAATTGTCTTGATCTGAAGAAAGAATAAAACTGCTGTCTTTATGACAAACAGATGCTGCTAGCTTGATGCAAGTCACCTAGGCTAGACTCCTTGGTGTCAAGGGAGACAGTGCTGTTAACTTCCTTATGGTCTCACTCCAAAACAGTTCTGAGGTCCTAAAGAAAGATACTCTGGCTTGTACTTGGCTCCAGGTTGTAATCCTACTCATCCAGAAATCTGAGATTTGAGGAGTGCTCTATGAATCTAGCCCAAGCAAGAAAGGTCCATGAGACTCTTTTTTTTTTGTCTTTTCTTTTTTGGTACTGAGGATCGAACCCAGGACGTTGCACTTGCTAGGCAAGCGCTTTGCCACTGAGCTACATCCCAGCCCTTCCATGAGACTCTTATCTCCACTGGCTCAAGTGGTACAATGTTAATCTTGAGCGAAAACTTAAGGTTCAATGCTCAGGCCCTGAGTTCAAGCCCCAGTACTAGCATAAATACAAAGAATGAAAGACATATATTTGGGGAACCACTGGCTCTTGGGTATTACCTGAGTTACTAGGAAGAGTTAGATCCAGGCAGTCAAGGATCAGAGTCCACATGGAGAGAACAGTTCATGGACTCAGTATGTAAAATTAATCAGCTACTGACTCAAGTTTCCTGGGTATTCTTGGGTATTCTCTCCGAATATGGGCAATGGTGAGCTCTACCATTTGTCCAGTGTCTCTTACTGTTTCCCACATTGACAAAATTTCCTTTTCCCTGTTTCTTTTACTCATTTTCCAGCCTCTCTCTACCCTGTTCCTTGCCTACAAATGCCTACTTAGCCTTGATGAAGTCAGAGTTCAGCTCAAGGCCAGATGCTGATGGCATGAGCCATCATCATGAGCTAGTAATTCTACTCAGGAAGCTAAGATATGAGAATTGAGGTTCCAAACCAGACCATGCAAGAAAATCCAAGTGTGAATTATCTCCAATTCACTAGCAAAAAGCTGGCTGGCTCAAGTGGTAGAGTGCCAGTCTAGAGCAGAAAGGCCAAGTGAGAGCCTGAGTCCCTGGGTTCAAGCCCAGTAGTGGCACCAAATAAAACATATTTTTCAAAATCTCATTTTTTTGTGTGGATACAGGTGTTCAGATATGATTTTTCTCTCTCCTGTTTTATATACTATGATCCTTTTAGATAGGAAGATGTCAATTTCTAAGAAACTCACTCATTATTTTAAGTATTTTCTTTTGAATTATTGCATTGTTCTTATGAGTAAATTAGGCAATTGATATGTGCATTAATTAACTTTACCTCACTTTCTTTACCTCTGAACATTCTTCATATGGTTTTTGTTTGTTTGTTTGTATTTCTGTACTGAGGAGTGAATCCAGAACCTTTAATTTGCTGGACAAGTGTTTTACCATGTCAGTCATGCTCCCAGATTTCTTTCTTCCATTATTTTGAAACAGGGTCATATTAACTTTACCCACTTGGCTTTGAACTCACAATCTTCCTGCTTCTGCATCCTGAATAGCTGAGATTACAGGTTGGCATCACCAAACTTCACCTCATTTTTTGTTTTGTGCCAATACAACTGCTTGAACTCAGGGCCTCTCACACTCAATTTGTACTCTGTCACTTGATCCACATCTCCACTTTGGCCTTTTTGTTGGTTTATTGAAGATAAGAGTCTTAGGGGATTTTTCTCATCAAGTTGGTTTAGAACCGTTATCCTCAGAACTAGCCACCTGAGAGCTAGGATTCGCCTCATTCTTGAGGAATTTGATAAAAGGCTTTTTTTGTGCCAGTTCTGGGGCTTAAACTCAGGTCCTGGACTCTGTCCTGAGCTCTGTGCTCAAGGTTGCAATTTGCCACTTGAGACACAGTGCCACTTCTGGCTTTTTGGGCTGGGAAGGTGGCTCAGTGGTAGAGTGCTTGCCTTGCATGCCTGAGGCCCTGGGTTCGATTCCTCAGCACCACATAAGCAAAAAGAAAAAAGCTGGAAGTGGCGCTGTGGCTCAAGTGGTAGAGTGCTAGCCTTGAGCTGAAGAGCTGAGGAACAGAGCCCAGGCCCAGAGTTCAGGCCCCACGACTGGACCCAAAAAATAAAAAAAAATAAAAAAAAGAGTCTCATGGAGTTTTTTTTTGGGGGGGTGTGTGGATGGGAAGATCCTGTATCTCCCTTGTGTCCTAACCAGTCTCTTGGTGGAGTCTCTGGTCTGCTTATAACCCCTGATTTCATTGTATTTGATGTTGGTATAATTTGTGGAGGGGAAGGGAAAAAACAAACCTTTAACTAGGGATACAGATGGACTCATTGCAACAATGAGATGTACAAGTCATTATGTTGAAAAACGAACTTTACAACTTTGGTGGGGGGTGAGGGGGTGGGGGAGGAGATGGGAAGGGATGGGAAGGGGAAACAAAGGATGAGGCAACAATGCTTGATAAGAAATGTACCCATTGCCTTGTCCATGTAATTGTAACCCCTCTGTATGATATTAAAAAAAAAATTTTTAAAGAGTTTCATGGAGTTTCCATACTTGGCTGGCTTTGAACCACGATCCTCAAATCTCAGCCCCCTGAGTAGCTAGGATTACAGACATGAGTCACTGGCACCCAGCAACCTGAAATTTTTGTACAAGGATAATGCTCTGCCACTTGATTCACAGTTCCATTTCCAGGTTTTTGGTACTGTTTATTGGAAATAAGAATCTAAAAGACTTTCTTACCTGGGCTGGCTTCAAACCACGGTCCTCATATTTCAGCCTTTTGTGTTGTTAGGATTACAAGTGTAAGCCACTAGTGCCTAGACTGTAAGCGTACTTTAAGAATCCTCTTCATCTCAGTATTTCGTTTTTAACTGCCTCATTCTTTTAGAACTCAAAAGTCTTGCATTAGCTAGGATTTGACTCACATCGCCAGTCTTAATGGTATCATTTTAATATCTTACCCATTTCATCAAATTACTTTTCTGAGAAATTAAAAATTTTAATCTATTATCTGCTATGTTTTTTTGCGGGGGGGGGGTCTGGTCGTGGGGCCTGAACTCTGGGCCTGGGC